GGTTCACTTTGCTCACGATAATAGTAGGATTTTTGGAATTGTGCATACATTTCATATAAGATTGCAAAATGATTGGAGTCAAAGTCCAGGTTAAGGTTATCGTAGGGATAAACTTCTGAGTTTAAATAGACTTTTAAATTTGTCAAGGTTATGTGGTCAAATCTGCTCATGTTTTTCGATGCAACATTTTTTCTATTTGTTTGGAATCCAATAATGATGAAACGTGGTTTTTCCAACTGATTGGTGGACTTAACAGCCCATGTATGATTTATTGTACTTTGTAGTTGTGGATATTCGTGCAATTCCCAGCTTCTAAATGCAATATTTAGGTCCAAATTTTTCTCAAAAAACTTATAAAGACGTAATTTTTGATCATCAGACACTCTAACATGTGGCATTTTCCATAAAATTTTACTTAGCGTCACTTTGTATGTTTCTTTTTTATCTTCTTGTTCAATGAGAGCATTGACGTCAGAATTACTTCTTATCAATACAAGTTCCTGTCGCACATTCAAAATAATCTTATGATGATCCTCAAAAAATCCCATTAGAATTTTCAGAGGTATACATGCATTGAAATTTCCGTTTCCATCCAAAAGTGCTGGATTTGATTTGGCATCCCAACCAGCATTTACCAAAACAATATTTTCGCTTTCCTTGAATGAAACATAACCTTTCATTGTCGACGTAATTCCAGGGTTTCTTACACGATCAACAATAACGCCTGCCAATTCATAGCGAATTTCATCAAATAAGTGGGCCAATCCATTGTTAATAAAGCTTACATTGTTGCTGAACGTTACGTTATCAGACAATAAAAGTTTACCTTCAATATACAAAAAACTTTGGCTGGGTAATGTATAAACATCCTGTGTCTGTATTGGAATTCGGATTTCATCATTGTTATTGAATGTTGATGATGTGTAGGGTTGATGTGTGTGCAATTGATAACTTACAATTGAATTATCATATATGACACTTTCGCTTACTTTCAGAATATTACGACTCATTTTCTTCTTCTTTTTCAAATTCTTCAGTACACTTGAAATTACATCTAATAGATAGAATAATTCTTCTTATGCTACAACCCACTCGTAGTTTAATGTTGACCCAAAATTGTATAAATCTCTTTTTTATCGAAATGATGACACTACTGCACTTTTAACTTGAAGCCTAACGAAATCAAAAAGTTTTTATTTTGCACTGTTAACCGTTTGACTGATTTTCCATCACTGAAGCGATTTTCCTTTAGTGACTTATTTTTAAAGGCTTTTTGTGTTCTGGACTCGTTGGTCGTTGTTGTTGTGTTGTTGTCGTTCTCGTTGTAATCATTGTTATCGGAGGGTGCACTAAATGAATTATGATTATATAAAAACATCATTTTTTATTTTTTGTTTCCACTATGACGATTTTCTCAAATGCAATCGAACAGTTATCAATTCACTGCGGAAATTAATGGCTTCACCACTTTGATCGGTAATTTTCAATAAAATCTCATCAATGTATCGCGTACTGATTGGTAAATAAATGACATTTGAGGGTTTTTCAACAATTTTAAATCCTGGTGGTGAGGTGGGATAGAACATGTGCAGTATATGAACCGGATCACCGTTATTGTAGGAATTTATCACTAAATTACACTCAATACAAATTGCATTGACCTTGAAGATATCCACTGGGTTCTCCGACACGTGTCTTCTATTTGCTTCAAGTTGTTGACTTTTGAATCCCAATAAACTTCCAATAGAATTTTTCTTGTTAAAATGTATATCTTTGTTGCACAAAATTTCACACTGTAATGTGTTGTGATTGGCGAGTATGCTTATTTTTAAATCATCTTCTTTATTATTGTCTCTTACGTAGGCATTCAAGTAATCATTGATGTCTTTTATCTCATAGGAGCCTTCTGGAATTGTTATCGAAGACTTACCATCAATGTCATAGTGGAAAGTATTATTTGAACTGTCAATGTTCGGTATGGAATTGTAACTCTCAAAATTGATAACACCCAAATCGAATTGTTCGGAATCGTTAAGAACTATAGGTGGATGAATATTTGCAGAAAGGTTCGCTGATCTCCCCGATAACGTAAAAGTATACGACATGTTTACTATTGAAAAGTCTACTTATTAATAAAAGACAAACTAGTACATTTTGAGTTTTTATTTGGTTTTACAATGATATAAAAAACTTAAACATAAATGACCACAATTTACAGAATTATACGATTGATAAGGATTTTGGTTATAAAATATTTTACAGTCGCCATTTGAATTGAAGTACTTGACCGATTCCAAAGGTGGTCGCAAATTGCCAAAACTATCAAAATAGTGGATGTTTTTACCAATTTTTTTATATGTTGTCCAATGAGTTCCAACACCTGTGCTGTTATCCAAATTGATAATACCAGATTCGTTTTTGTGTATTTTCATTGTGGGTAACTGATCCTTCATGAATACACCACGAAAATGTTTCAGTTTCAGTAACTTTGCATATTTTTCCAAATCAATGTTGGATAGAGCGCGATGTTGTGGTAGCTTAACAGGTAATGCTTTTTTAAAAATTGTCAAGGTATTTTTTTCTGACATCCTCCTTGGTGTAAAAAAAGACCCAGACCAGTTTTGTATGGTTTCAAGAACAATCCTTTTCCCATGGCAATGGATTCCATCGTTTGATTATGACGTTGATTCTCCTTCAACTGTTGATTGGCGGACTTGGCATCATTAACAGCTTTAGCAATCCCTGCGGTTCCTCCAGACACCGCGCCCAATGCTGACAAACCGGCAAATATTGGTATTAATGGAAGAATACCACCAGTTTTGGGTACTCTAATTATTCGAGCTGGTCTAATTTTACCTTTAGATTTTTTAATACTTTTTAAAGCAACTTTGATTGCACTTTCCAAATCTTTCGGGTTTTCACGCTTTAAGCTATCCTTCACTGTTTTAGTTACATTGCTAAAACTAATCTTTTTTTTTCCTCGTTTATTTTGTTGACTTCTCCTTTTAGTAGCAATACGGGAATGTTGTGGACGTTTTCTTTGTTTTCTTCTGTTTGTTTTTCGTGACTTTTTTTTTTTTGTTACCAGCAGCAGCACTAGTCATTATTACCTCTACTTATATTGAAGGCTTACACAAGACTAAGGAAAATGTAGTTAAATTGGAATTTTTATCTAATATTTTTTTTGTTTTTTGAATGTTTCATCATCATCATCATCATCATCATTATCGAATTTCCTTTTATTATTGTTATCTAATTGGTTTGTTTCAATTTTTAACAATTTTGATGGAATATCGGTGGTGGTGGTGGAAGTGTGATCAATTTTCCTTTATTTAGGTAATTTTATAATTTTCCTTCTTTTGATTTTAAAACCATCCAATTGTGTTATAGATTCATCATTTTCAAGTTTACGTTTTTGGGTTTTTGTATTAATTATTTTTCTTTTTTTCACTTCCTCCTCTTCTGGTTTAAATCCATCAACATCAACATCATCATCATCAACAAATTTACGTTTTACTGCACGCTTATTTATTTTTGGTTTAAGATCAACTCTTTTAACAATTTTATTTTTTTGTGTTTTTTTTATTGCTGCTTTTTTTGAGTGGTCTGTTATTTGTTTCTCTAGCCAATCTAAAGAGTTCAAATAATTTCGTGTCATTTTCATACCACGGTGAATTAGATTTAAACATTTTCGCTGGATTTTCGAACGCGGTTCTTTAGCACTTACACCATGATCATGAGCACCATCGAGACCCATACCTAATTTAACTTTTGTGTGAATGGCTGCAGCTACTCCTGTGGCTGCTACTTTTTCTGATAACGCTGCATTTTTTGCATTTATTCTCTCCAAAGCCCTCCTCAACAATATCTTATCAGCCTCGTGACGTTCATCCAAAAGTTCATTTTTTGAGTATGCTATATCGTGTTCCTTACATGCCTCATCCAACTGATTAACACCCTTGTCACCTCTGACCAAACGTTTTTGTAGCTTTGTTCCAGGACCGCAGTAGTTGTAACCAGGTAAGTGTAGTTCCAAGGGCAATCTATTAATAGCACTGTTTAGTAATCCCTCACCGGTATAACGATTGGAATTATTCACATAGTAGTTCATGTTTTATCAACAAAACACAATTTAAAACTAAATAAAAATTGTGATTTCACCAGAGCTTTATACATTTCACGAGTGAATGTTGACCAATTAGGTACCTACGTTTTATTATTTTTTTAAGTTAGTGAGAAAATGAAAAAAATCGTGAAACAAAAAATTCGTTTGGAAGTGGATAACCACGATGATGATGTCAAAAGCAACAACATATCTTCAAAACATGGCAAACTGCTACCTCATAGTATTAGAGGTCTAATAGTTGGACCGTCGAATTGTGGTAAAACCAATGTAATGCTTACCCTTCTGGAACATCCCAATGGTGTGAAATTTGAAAATGTCTACCTGTACTCGAAGAGTTTGTATCAACCAAAATATTTATATTTGGAGGAACTTTTCAAACCAATCAAAGGAATTGGATATTTTTCCTATAGTACTGGAGAAGACATTATTGCACCATCTGATGCAAAACCAAATTCTGTATTTATATTTGACGATGTGGCAGGTGACAAGCAGAATGTGATTCGTGATTATTTCAGTATGGGTCGTCATAACAACATTGAATGTTTCTATCTCTCTCAAACTTATGCTAAAATTCCCAAACATTTGATAAGAGACAATGCAAATGTCATTATCATATTTAAGCAAGATGATTTGAATTTGAAACATGTATATACTGATCACGTGGGTACCGACATGTCTTTTGAGGATTTTAAAAGTATTTGCTCGCACTGCTGGAGAAAACGGTACGATTTTCTATCAATATTCAAAGATAGTAATATTGATAATGGGAGATATCGTAATCGATTTGACAATTACATATATCTATAGATGCATCAGCTACTATTTTTTATTTGTATAGTAAAAGTGTTGAGCATACCACGTAGAAGATTAAAAAATGTTTGAGAAAACCAATAAAAGTGATAAAGTATTGAAAAAGAAATTAATTTTGAAAAGAAAAATTATTCGCGAAAAATTAAATTTGTTGAAACAAGGACAAATACTACAAGAAAATCTATTTCAACCCATCACGAAACACTTGACGAATATTGAAACTCAATTGGATAAAAATCAAAATCTGGCACAACAACAACAAGAAAAGACAACAATCGCAATACCAACAACGAAAAAATTGAAAAAGGAACAGGATGAAGAAGATAATTACGATTATGAAGAAGATGACGTATTCAAAAAAGTAAATTCAGAATTGTATGAGCCTACACCACGATCCTTGGTTGCTGCTGCTGCTGCTGATTACACCCCACGTGTTGGTAAAACAACAAAAATCAAACGGAAATTACCTTTCACACAAATTAGTGATAAAAAAACAAAAAAATCAGATCAACCACAACATAGTTATAATTTAAGAAGGTTACTGCTCAGGGACAATGTTGAAAAATATGCTACAGATGAAGAGGAAGCTAGAAAACAAAAGGATTTTAATGAAAGTCGTCAAAATGAATTTTTAAACCTGTCACAAACTGAATATTTGGATCAATTTGATCCATTGCCGGCAAAATATATACAAGAATTTATAAATGACCCTGCTACTGATCCAGCGTTAGAGGGAAATGTTTTACCTAAATATCGTATAAGACGTGATGAAATTGATAATTTCTACATTGGTGATTCCAAAGTTGAAATCGTTGGATCTGATTTAATAGTGAAAGGAAGAAGATACAAAGGAACCCCCGGACTGTATAAATTACTGTTCAGAAAAAATATGCCTAAAAGTTATACGAAGGATGATGAAGCTGCTTTCAAGGACATTATCTCAAGAACCAATATAAATAGAAAAAGGTTCAAGACCACTGGAGATGAAAATGACAGCCAATCTGAAAAATTCAAACTACTTTTCGAACCTTTAACAACTACTGGAAATGGCATGGTTGCATCATCAGCAGAAATGAAATATTCCAACAATTTGATTGATTACATCTACTGGGATGATCCAAATGAACTTGTCGAACGCTTACAACTGTTACTTGCTTCCCAAACGGCAGGCAATACAAACCATAACAACGAGATCAACGCAATTGTGGAAGAGTTACGAGAAGCAAACATTGTTGAATAATAATAAAATGGGTAAATTTAGTGTTACTGATGTTAAGCGACAAGTTGTTAACGAGATACATAAACCTGCAAGAATCAACTTCCCTAGACGTAAAGTGATTATAAAATCTTTAAATGACTTATTTCAAGCTGACCTAGTTGAAATGATTCCATATGCAAATACAAACAGTGGTTTCAAGTATATTCTGGTTGTTATCAATTGTTTTTCAAAATATGTTTGGGCTTTACCTCTCAAATCCAAAACAGCAAGTGAAGTTTCAAAAGCGATGGGAAAAGTTTTCAAGGGACAGATACCGGTACATTTACAATCAGACTTTGGTACTGAATTTTACAACTCTTCAATGAAGAAACTATTGGACAAATATCACATTAAGCACTATAGCAGTTTTAGTGAGAAAAAGGCACAAATTGTGGAACGAGTTAATCGAACTTTGAAAAATTTCATGTGGAAGGAATTCAATTATCAAGGATCATATAAGTGGATAGACATACTGCCTAGAAAAGTAAAATTTTATAACAATAGAATACACAGGACAATTGGTATGAAACCTGTCGAGGTTAGAAAACGGCACGAGAAACTTCTCTTGGATACAGTTTACAATAGAATCAAGATCGCCTCTAAGCCAAAATTCAATATTGGTGATCAAGTTCGTATATCGAAAACTGGTGGTGTATTTGATAAAAAATACACAGCAAACTGGTCTACAGAAATTTTCAGCATAAAAAAATTCAGCTGACAAACCCAACAACATATCTATTAGAGGATTTCAACAAACAGGAAATTAGGGGAGGATTCTATGAACTTCAATTACAAAAAGTTAAAAATCCAGACATTTACCTAGTTGAGAAAATTCTAAGACGTTCGAAAAATAAGGTGTTTGTGAAATGGCTTGGGTTTGATAGTAAACACAACAGCTGGATAGATAAAAATAATGTTGCGTAACTGATAAGCATCAATAAAAAGCAGTTTTTTTCTCAAATTGGCCATTATAGTTTTTTCCTTCAAAGAGTAAGCAAGTTCAAAAAAATAAATAAAAATGAATAGTGATTGTGCTCCATCAATAAGAACTGTATGGAACGACATATCGAAATCACCAGTTTTAACTGAAAAGTTTATAACCTATTATCAACGAGAGATCAACTGGGATCTCATCAGTACTTACCAAACTTTACAAGAAGATTTCATCAGGATGTTTCTTACAAAAGTTAATTGGACACTTATATCAAGGTACCAACAGTTGAGTGAGTCCTTTATTGAAGAATTTAAAACGGCGGTCCATTGGCCTTTCATATACAAATACCAAGTTTTATCCCAGAAATTTATTCGAAAACATGCCACATTAGTAAAATGGTATGAAATTATCAAACACCAAAAGTGTATAACAGCAGAGTTTCTTTTTGAAATGAAACATTACGTGGATAGAGATCGTACTGTTCACAACGCCAATACCCATCAAGTACACATGCCCCAGATGTAAGGGTGAAACTGATATACCCAATCGACCTTGTATTCCTTGCAGCTGGGATATTGAATATTCAAAATATATAGGAGGAAAAAAGATACAGACCTACTTTTTTGAAAATCTATAAATAAACCTAATTTTTCTAGTTATATGTCTAATAAATCGATTATCAATTCGTACACTTTGTGTTTTACTGTCACCTATGTTCCTATCTACCTATATACAAAATTTTCAATAGTATATAAATCAACCACTTTTAACATTAATCTCAGTGATATTCAAACTACCGCATTGACCAGTACCTACCTACCTACATAAAAATGCATTATTGCTATGAATTAACTCCAGTGAATTGTAAAACTTGTTCTGTGGTAGATTTTATTAGACATAATAATGTGAGGAAAAGCATTGCTTCATATACTTGTGATATCTGCAGAAACGCAAGTAGAGGAAAAAAGATGACAAAACCTTTAAAGGGTGCAAAAGTGAGGATTGGTTAAATTATCGTCTACATTGAACTGCAACCACAAACAACATGGAAGACTTTTGATTTTTTAATGTAACGCAAATTTTCTTTTTAATAAAATTCTTACACCTATTTTTTTGTTTGTTTTTTACTGATTCCCTCTAAACTGGGCTGGGCTAGGCGAGGCTAGGCTATAAGAATTTAAACAAAATTCAACGAGACCAATGTGCACAACATTAGATTAGGTTAGGCCAGCCTAATAGGTACCTATTCAATTTAAAGTAATTTTTTCATTTCAAATTTTACGAGTCTGATCATAGTACCAAACATTTTGATACTTACAAACAAGATCTATCCGTGGTCTGGTGGTTAACGCTCTTGGTTCTTGAGCCAGTGGTCCGACTGGTCAACGGTTCGATTCCACACACAGACACAAGACTTTTTTTCATTTTATTCCATTTTAATTCATCACACAGGTGAGTGATGTGACAAGTTTCAGGTGACACTGACAGGTGAAAAAAAAAATGGAAGGTAAAAAAATAAACATTTAAAATAAGGTGAGGGGAGGATTGGTGAGGGTGGTAGGTAGTGCCCCTTGGGGTTAGGGTAGTAGGTAGTGCCCCTTGGGGTTAGGGGTAGTTGACAAGGGGGTAGGTGTCCCAGTATCCCGCGTCTTATACTACTGACGACCATCAACTTTTGCATCGAATTCAGGGATTTGGTAATAATTGTATTGATATGATTGCCCACGAATGTGCATATCATAATTTGTGTTTCTTAAAACTAATGCAAAAATCAAAATCAGAAGTAAAATACCCGCAAGAATCTGAAGTCCTTTCGTTTGGAACTAAACTACGCGTCAATTGAACTCGAACACCCCAATTTTTGGTCACTTTTTGAAAGGCTATAACTCAAAAACTAGCAGGCCGATTTTGTACAAATTTTCAGGAGTGAAAGGATGCTCTAATTACTATTTAATTTCCAGTTCCTAATAGATTTCCGGCCACCTGCTAAAAGATACAGGGTGAGACATAAGTAGGCGATTTTTTTGCGAAAGTTTGGGTTCACCCCATTCTGCTGGAGGGAGGGTTAAGTAAATTTTTGGTATGCAGTTTAGAAGGGTACCTTGGTACCTCGGGACGTTTTTGAGATTTTTTGAATATCGCAGCCCACTACGATTTTATCTTGAATTATGCGATTTTATGTAAAATATAGCTATTGACGTCATTATTTCTTTCGAAACAGACACTACAATTATGGCGCATGTGAAAACACACTTTAAAACATATTAATTATACAGGATCATACAAAAATATACAGTGCGTCTATTTTTCTAACCAGAGATATCTTTGGTATTAGAGATATGAGGTCGGTTAAATTAGGGCAAAGTCGCGCAATTTTATGGCCAATAAAACGGGGTTTAACACTGGCACCGCTGCTCATAGACATTGCAGGTGGTAAACCAAAAATTACTTCGATCCGAGATGACAACAGAATTCTTTTACCAGTGCGGCAAAGCAGAACTATCAATTCTTCGCGAATAAGGATCGCGGTAGGAATTGAAGCCTCAAAATCAACAAAGACGTCTCCATGAGAGAAATTTAAGAGCCAGATAGCATGTCCATTATTAAAAGCAGTCCATCGAAGAGCACGAATAAACTGGATTAATATTCATAGACAATAGACACTGGGGAGAGTAGCTGAATGGTAGGGATGTTTGCTTGTGGATGAATGCAGATTCACGCTGTATCAGAATGACGGGCCTGTATTAGTATGTAAAAAAACGCGTGAGAGCTACAGAAAAGAATGCATGGAAGTATAGAGGCTTTTGGTGGTGGTGGCGTGACAGTTTGGAGGGGGAGGGGGTTATTTATTGGAATGGGTAGACTGACCTGGTAATTTTAATGAGAGAAAGTATGAATGAAGAACGGTACCGGGATTTGTGTGTAAAGGCGTTACACACGGACGTGTATGTCTGAAAACATGTACGCACATACATGAACGCTCAAACAAAAACATCAATGTGTATGCAAAATACCGTCGCGTTTTTGAATGTGCAATTTTGTATGCACACTCGGAATACTGTAGCAAGAATTGCAAGACTGCAGTTTTGTGCGAGCGTCTGTACAAAGGCGCCATGCACGTTGTTGTTTGCACGTTGATGTATGCACGTATATGTATTAAGGCATCCACCGCCTTATGTGTATGCAGAATACCATCGCGTTTTTGAATGTGCAAGCGGTAGAATGACGGTCAGGTGAATTTCCACGCATCAATCGAACTCGAACACCCCAATTTTTGGTCACTTTTTGTAAGACCATAACTCAAAATCTAGCAAGCCGATTTTGTTTAAATTTTCAGAGTGAAAGGCTGCTCTAATTGCTAATTAATTTTCATTTGCTAACATCTTTCCGTCCACCTGCTGAAAGATACAGGGGAAACATAAGCTGGCGATTTCTTTACGAAAGTTTGGGTTCACCTCATTAGTACTTCGGGACGTTTTTGAGATCTCACGAATAATGCGCCGAATCACATCTTTCAACTCTTGAATTGTTTTGGGATTGTTCACATACGCTTTTATTTTGATGTAAGCGGCGCAACATGCCACACAGCAAGATTAACCATTGACTTATTGCAAACACGGTGTGGAAGGTAAGCTTCTTTCAAGAAATGGGGATGTCAATCGGCCGCCTAGATCTTGCGATCTAATGTCACTAGACTCTTTTTTGTGGGGTTACATCAAAAGCAAACCGTATTCTAATAATCCCCCAAACAATTCAAGGGTCGAAAGATGAGATTCGGCGTATTATCCATGAGATAGCACCGGAAATGTGCATAGATGTGATCGAAAATGTTGGCAAACAAATTGTGTATTGTGAGAGAAGTCGTGGTGGCCATTTGTTGGATATTACGTTTCACGAATAATTGTAAACGTTTATGTTACTTATTGCTGTAAAGTATTAAATGTTTCCTAGTTTCCTTTTCATTTGAATTGAGAAAATCATCCGGAAACACTTATCAGAATACCCTATATACTTTTGTATTACCCTGTATAATATGTTCTAAGTGTGTTTCCACATGCGTCATAATTGTAGTGTTTGTTTCGAAAGAAATAATGACGTCAATAGCTATATTTTACATAAAATCGTTTAACTCATGATAAAATCGTAGTCGGCTGCGATATTATCAAAAAATCTCAATAACGTCCCGAGGTACTTAGGTACTCTTCTAAACTACATACCAAAAATCTACTCAACCCTCCCTCCAGCAGAATGGGGTTAACCCAAACTTTCGTAAAGAAATCGCCAACTTATTTTTCACCCTGTATCTTTCAGCAGGTGGACGGAAATCTGTTAGCAAATGGAAATTAATTAGCAATTAGAGCAGCCTTCCACTTCTGAAAATTTAAACAAAATCTGCCTGCTAGATTTTGAGTTATAGTCTTACAAGAAGGGACCAATAATTGGGGTGTTCGAGTTCGATTGATGCGTAGAAATTCATCTGATCGTCTTTTTACCGCTTGCACATTCGAAAATGCGATGGTATTCTGCATACACATTGATGTTTTTTTTTCGCGCGTTTATGTATGTGCGTACATGTTTTCAGACATCCACGTCCGTGTGTAACCGCCTTTACACACAAATCACGATATTTACCGTTCTTCATTCATACTTTCTCTCATTAAAATTACCAGTTCAGTCTACCCATTCCGGTAAATAACCCCGCCCCCCCTCCAAACTGTCACGACACGACCACCAAAAGCCTCTCTTTTTTCCATGCATTCTTTTTTGTAGCTCACACGCGTTTCTTTACATACTAATACACGCCCGTCATTCTGATACAGCGTGAATCTGCATTCATCCACAAAAAAACATCCCTACCATTCAGCTACTCTCCAGTGTCTATTGTCTATGAATATTAGCCCAGTCTATTCGTGCTCTTCGATGGACTGCTTTTAATAATGGACATGCTGTCTGGCTCCTAAATTTCTCTCATGGAGTCGTCTTTGTTGATTTTGAGGCTCCAATTCCTAACGCGATCCTTATTCGCGAAGAATTGAGAGTTCTGTTTTGTCGCACTGGTAAAAGAATTTTGTTGTCATCCCGGACCGAAGTAATTCTTGGTTTACTACCTGCAATATCTATAAGCAGCGGTGCCAGTGTTAAACCCCGTTTTATTGGCCATCAAATTGCGCGACTTTGCCCTAATTTAGTCGACCTCAAATCTCTAATACCAAAGATATCTCTGGTTAGAAAAATAGACAACTGTATATTTTTGTATGATCCTGTATAATATGTTTTAAAGTGTGTTTTCACATTCGCCATAATTGTAGTGTCTGTTTCGAAAGAAATAATGACGTCAATAGCTATATTTTACATAAAATCGCATAATTCAAGATAAAATCGTAGTGGGCTGCGATATTCAAAAAATCTCAAAAACGTCCCGAGGTACCAAGGTACTCTTCTAAACTGCATACCAAAAATCTACTTAACCCTCCCTCCAGCAGAATGGGGTGAACCCAAACTTTCGCAAAAAAATCGCCTACTTATGTTTCACCCTGTATCTTTTAGCAGGTGGCCGGAAATCTATTAGGAACTGGAAATTAAATAGTAATTAGAGCATCCTTTCACTCCTGAAAATTTGAACAAAATCGGCCTGCTAGTTTTTGAGTTATAGCCTTTCAAAAAGTGACCAAAACTTGGGGTGTTCGAGTTCAATTGACGCGTAGTTTATTTTCATGAAAATTCAATCTTATATAGAAAATGGTGGAAATCAGGCCAATTTTACATAAGAAAGCAAAGTTATGGAACGTTGAGTGGACTGCACAATATCCATCGTCAAAAGAGATTATAAATAAGCTGCAAAGTCTTTACAAGGAAAAAATTATGGTTGTTGTCCGAGATGGAAAACTTTCTAGTTATCTTTGCCCTACTGAAGTAATTATTAAGGAATTAGATGGTGTAAGAAATTCAAGTTCTTCAGATTCAGACGCTGAGGCCACATTTTCTAATGAATGCCATTCTCCTTATAAACTACAATCAAATGTTTATAATTTCGCAAAATATTTAAGGGCGGGACTTATTGCAAATTGTGCCCAGCAAGACACTTTGACAATTACTAAAGAATGTGCATCTTATATCATACCAAAGTCATTATATAACCTTTTTACGTGGATACTTACTGAGAAAGAAGTAAATTTTGACAAAGATGGAAAAGTTCTGTTGGAAGAGAAGCTTGAAGAAAAGGTTTTGAATATTTGTGAAGATTTTTTATTTGCATTAACTGGAATAAAAACACCAAAACATGTGGGACTAGCCGTTTACATTTTGAAGCATACAAGGTTTTTTTTTTCAAATAATTTCTATTAACTGTTTTCTTTGACAAATTGTTGTAGTCGCCTAGTATATTTTACGCAATTTCTTGCTTCTGCAAAATTTTGAATTGAGCCTGCTTTGTTTTGAAAAAGAAATCTCATTGTTATAATTTTTTTACTCACATTAATTGGATTAGGTATTTGAAAATATATTCCATACTAGCTGACCCGGCGAACTTCGTACCTCCTCTGAATTATTAAATACCTATTAAATGTTGTGTTAACGTATCTATTAACTGAATTAAATTCAGTTTTTTTCGATGGTGAATTTGGCTTTGGTCGAAGAAAATTAATTTTTACTCTCTGGATCAGAAGTCACCTAAAATTAAAATTTTACATCATCCCTTTTTAGGCATCTTGTGGGCATTATTCTTATAAAGTGTACCACCAAATAAATAAACTCAGGCACAGGAATGTTCAAAAAATGTAAAGGAAACAAAAAAAATCTCCAGCGCAGCCCTGTTTCATTTTACCTGCACTGCAATACTCCATCTGTTCTACTGTATCTGCACTATTCTATCTGATCTACTCTTTCTGCACCACTTTATCTGATCGGAATAGTGGAATAGTTGTTTTCAGAATAGCTCCAGTTCCTTAGCAGTATTCTGTTCTACTGTATCTGCAATGAAATTACCTCGCAACGGCGAGCTTCGTTCTAGGTACCTATCATATATGGCGCCGTATACAAAATGGTTGTGGCGGACTCATAACCTGGCTCTCTGCCACTCGACACCAGCCGGACGGAGCACTCCGAACAGTCGGCACGGAACACGGCTGTCAAGGGATGCCTAAGAGGAGAAACGGAACTTAGCCACAGAACGTCAATGGTCAAGCGTCAAAAAATGACAGGTAGACCAGTTCGCGCTCTTTCGGAATGAACGAACCAACAACAAAATAAAATACACAATTAAAACATTTTCATTCTATTTATTTTTGGACATTTTTACTGTGAAGAACAATTAAAAATAAAGTGCTTTCCTCAAATTGTTTTTGTGCAAAGTGTGTGACAATAAAATCCACATGGTTTGCAATGAAAATGTGACGGTAAACTTGGTATCGGTTATAAGAGATGGCGCCGTATACGGGCTTAGTGAGTTTTTTTTTTCATAAATAAGTAAAATAGATAAATTTTTTTTTGTTTTTTTTTTTCGATTTTTTCGATTTATTATCCTAGGATGGACAAAGACAAATCCAATAAAGCAAAAATCATAAAAATCAGTCCAGCCGTTCTCGAGTTATAAGTGCTCAAATACCAACACAACTGTGTTTTATATATATAGATTTCGTAATGAATAAATAAATAAATAAACTGAAATATGCAAGGACTCATCATACCTAATTATGTTTAAACATAAACCTGTTAACATTTTAGGTCCAAAAAAATTGTAAACATAATAAGCAATTTTGGAAACAGCGTTAGTTATCCAGACGCACAACGCTATATTAATGATATGGCAATTCAAGTTGATGAAAAAAGAGCCCTAGAATCTTTATACCCTCTAATTTGCAAGCAAATGCATTTACCCAGTTTGCGTTCGATAATCTCGACTTTAGCGGACAATCGGTCGAAGGAGATACGATTCATGGTACAACCCACATTGTGTATCAATTCATAGAAAATACATGTAGATACTCTTCTAATATAAATCTACCAAAAAAGCATACAAATACCAAGATTAAAGAAGTAAGAAAAAAAAATGAATTCGGCGAGACTTTGTTGACCAAAAGAGATAAAGACCAAAGTAGATCCTTGAGAGATACTAATATCCAGCTAGGACTTTCGACGGAACAGAATCAAAAGCTCACACTCATATGGAATTTAATAAACATCGAGGAAGATGGTTTTGATTTCACACTAGTCAATTGGAGTAAATTTCACGAGATTATAGCTTCAAACACCAATAAGCCTACAAAAACCGAGATGGGATATGGTCCTTTTGTACCCTCATCTCCCACTAAGGTAGGAGTGGTTGAAAATTCAATAGAATATTGTTTGAAAGTTGCTCAAAGACTTAATCAAAAACACGTTATTATCACAGTGGACGAAGCTATATACGAAATAGTTTACGGACTAAAAAAGACAATTTCTGAAAAGTGCAAAAATGTTATACCAAGAATGGGTGGTTTCCATATATGTCTGAACTTTCTTGGTGCGCTTGGGCGAATTATGTCGAATTCTGGTATAGAAGACTTGCTAGTCGAAGCCAACATATTATTGCCAGGAACTGCCAATAAGGTTATTGGTGGAGGAAAAGATTATTACAAAATGATACGAGCACATAATTTGGTACATTCAGCTGTTTTCGAACTATACTGGGAGCAATTTTCAGAGTGGCTTTTAGATACTAATGTAGAAAATTCTCATGTTAGTAACCTTGTGGATGAAATTAAACAACTAAAGCTTCATCTAACTAACGAACACGATAGCGATATGATTGCACAATCATATGCAAATATTTGCAACTTAATGAATGAGATTGAACCATTATTACAATTATTCAATCCAACATATGAAAATAGACCAACTGCCCTTTTTTGGCTACAATACATGAACATGGTCTGCATTCTGCAATGGTATATAATCGCAGAAAGAAATGGCGATTGGAATCAGCATCTATTGTGCGTTGAAAAAATACTTCCCTACATGATGTCTGCAGGACATTACAAATATGTTTCGTATATTCCTCACTACCTACAGGATATGAGAGATCTCAAAGAAACTGTTCCAGAAGTTCACAGTGCTTTTATTGAGGGCAAATTCAATATCCATGTCAGGAACGGGGTTTTTAATGGTGTCTGGACAGATATGGCATTAGAACAAACCTACAAAAAAAACGCTATAAACAAATTGTTTCACGGAATATCTATGCAGGAAATTACAGTACAAAAGTATTTGAACTCGCTGCCCTTTATGTCTACGGTTTCTGACGATGTGGAAAATATGTTTGCATCAAAAAGAAAGATTTCTATAAATAAAGTTCATCACGATTCAAGCTGCGACGCTCTGAAAACTCATACTAATATATTAGAAATAAAAAGGATCATGAAACAGAAAGTCAATCCATTTGAAGCACACCTGAAGAAGTTAGTTAATATTTATTCTGGGTGTATAAGCAAATCAAACAATGTTTATAAAGCTGAAGAAATTGGAATGGCCTCCATAGTTAAGGCAAATAGGGAAAATTCGGAAAAAAATGGGATAATATAGTTGGAGTTATTTAATGAAAAAGAAAAAGCCAAAACCAAAAAAACAGTGGTGTCTGAGTTGTATGAAAGTGAAGCCAAAATGTTAAGACACCTACATTTCACTCGAGAACTTGATGAGGAAGCAAAAATTAAAGTATTTTCTCACGAATGGACACCTTATCCATCTTCACTTTTTGAGATTGATTGGGAAAGCAACATAATCATGAGAAAAGGAAATAAATCTGAGTTCTATAGGGCTGTCCTAAGAGAAATTAAAGATGTAGCTATTGAGTTTTCCTGTATGCCAATAGAAGAAAGCGGCACTTCCAAAAAAGCTTATATAATACACATGATGGCACTTATTCAGCGTTATCAAAATTTCAATAGTAAAACATTTTGAGAACTATTTTTTAAATACTTGTCTTTAATATTGAAGTTAATGCCTCAAAACTGTGATCTTATAGTATGCATCGGTGATCGTTACGATTTTGAAGATAGCTTAAAGCAAACCGAAATACATAGAAGATCGAAAAATTGTCATTCTCAAACCTATGAGATATGAGACGAACTTGATATACCTGAGTGGAAGAAATTTATATCAAATCCATATAATAAAAAGAACCTCTTGGCATATTTAGCACAAAATCTAACAAAGGAAAATTATGGTATACCTGATCAAATTGAAATTGTATTAGCAGGAATGTCAGAAGATAATGGAATAACAATAAATGCACAAAAATGGAGTCAAAAGTGGTTGAGGAGTTGAAGTTTACTGGGCATGAGGAAGCTGATACTAGAATATTTGAAATTATTAATTTTTTCAAAGACACATTCGATATATTTGTTATTTACTCATTGGACCCAGATGTTTTCGTTTTATCGATGTTTTTTTCGGTTACCTTAGATGTCAAAATTTGGATGGAAAGAGAAAAGAAATTTATCCCATGTTTCTCAATCATTCAAGCCTTAGCAAAATTGAAACATCAGGATGTTAAAATATTAGCAGACAATTTGTTGTCAGTATATTGTTTATCTGGGTGTGATTGTGTTAGTTTTCCGTTTAGAAAAGGGAAGGGAGCCCTAAAAATAGTGTTGTCTCAAGAACCAGATAAGATGCATATTTCACCTTTTGGGACCAAAAGTACATGTAATCCATATGGAATATCCGACGAGTTACTATCATCATGTCGACTATTCTTCAAGCATTTGTATGGCCGAAAAGACTTTAGAGGAAATATGGATGAATTGAGAGCTCATATGTTTCCAACTTGCAAAACAGATATAAGGTAAAGATTAAATCTAAATAAACTTAACATTTTTTTACAAACTAGTAATAATCTCCTAAAATATAGAATATAGAACTCTGTGTATATGTAGAAAAATCCTTTTTTTAGGGATTTGCCGCCGATTGAAGATTCCCTTATTTTTCATGTGAGAAGGGCAATTACAATGTGCAATTTTCAAAACCGCATATATGCTGAATCCAGATCTACCTGAAATTTCAAAGTTTGGCTACGAACGCAGAGACAATTGTATTGTGCCAACATTAATGTCCAAAAAAGCCAAACCCACATTCCTGAAAATTACCCCATTTTGCAAATGCAAATTATTCAACTGCAATAACAAGTGCAAATGCCTGAAAGCAAATGTAACATGCAATATAAGTTGCCAGTGTGAGGGAAAATGCATTGTGAAATAAATAATTTAATTGGGTAATGATGATATTGTGTTTTATGCTAGTGAATAAAATAAATATTAATGTTTTTTCCATTCATATCATTTCCCAAACCCATAAATCCCCTTTTACTCCCTATGGCATCATAATAATATCATATTGCGCGTCATCTTTGTTGCACGTATGAAGAAGGCTTTGGTGTTTACACTCTCTAACACACTGATCGTTTTATTCGCAGCAGCGCGTCCTAAGACCGCTTCTAACCGGCAATGCCGGGAGTTGAGACGCGGCGATTCAATTTTCTTCGGTTTTTAAAAAGAATACAGCCCAAACTAAACGTCGCATGAAAAAAATGTTTTAGTAAAAAAGTTTCTTTATTTTATTGGAAACATTTTTCTCGCTTATACTAGTTATCTATCTCTAAAGATAAAAAAGTTTTCGCGACTCACCATTTAACGCTGCAAAATGACGATATTTTGTGTCATCTGGCGAAAAAAAAATTACGTAGCTTTCATGTGACGTTCTATATTTTTTATTGTTATAAAACTATGTCATGGAAGGTCTGAAAAATATCATATCCAAAATTCATAACGATCGGACATCAATTAACAAAGTTATGCACTAGTTTTCAAAAAAAATATTTCAATGGAAATTTCCCTTGTGCATATTTAACTGGAAATTTACCTCATAATTTTCAAAAATTGACAAGTGGAAATATCCCTGGCGAGAGGGATATTTCCGGGTGCAATTTCCAATGCGACAATGCCGCGCGGCGTCTGTCGGAAACTCACCTTTAGATTGTCATTTTTGGCATTGAGACCAGCTTTTCCATTTAAAACGCATTGATGTCAGAAATCTGTCAAAGTGTATATTTTTGACAAACGCAATTTGAATGGAAAAAATCAATAACAATCACCATCACAGAACACATCACCATAATTAAAATATTCGACACAACGTATAATAAACAAACTTTGCATAATATATTTCCTGAAGCAAATTTTTAAAAATTTCGTCTTCAGCCAATTTCAATCCAATCACCCTTCGGGTTCGGGATTTTTTCAGGCGCTATGCACTCATGATTTTGTTAAAAAATTGGCTTCAGACAAAATTTTCAAAAATTTCCGGAAATATTTTATGCACTAGTTATATTTCTACTGGAAATTTCCCTTGTGCAAATTACACTGGAAATTTTGCATACAAATTGTCAAAATTAATAGGTTGCCACGCTTTTTCGCTGATTAAGAAAAAAAAAATAAATTTAGAAAAATAAATTTAGAAAAATAAATTTAAAAAAAAATTAAAGTCGAGAATAAAAAAATTAAAAAAAGTAAAATAAAAATAATGAAAATAAAAATAATTGAATGAAGAACTTGAGATTGTAAGACTGAAGGTCGAAGTGCGTGCAAATTAAGCCCTAGCTCAGAACTAAATATTTCGGAGAGTAGGGGTGGGTTTTAGTTTTGGGCGCCACCGACTCTGAACAGATGAGTCGGACTCTCCAGGATGGTATCTGGCTTCAGGTCCTTACAATCCAAATAATAATTAATAAAAAAAAAATAAAAATATTAGCAAAACCAGGCTGTGTGCATAAAACCAAATAAAAGTCAAGATATCAAGTGCTACAGTCGTTTAATCACCAAATAGTCGCAGTCCACAATGAACAATAATTTGAATTTAAGAGAAAAAAAAAATTAATAATAATCAAGTAAATGCAAGCAATAAGTAATTAACAAAATGACAAGCAAATGTAAGTAGTAATTAATAAAATGACCTTGTCATGAAATGTCAACCAACAAATACAGAAATGCGATACTATAGTCATGAAGCGTTAACTAACAAATACAGAAATGCAATAACTATAGTCATGAACAGTTAAATTTAAATACAAACATGTCATTGAGACTCAATGACCCAAATGAATAATAATAAAAAAAAAAGGTATAAATAGAAAAGTTGTTAATGTAAATTGAAGAGAAAAACAAAACAAAAAAAAAACAATAAATTAATGAATAATAAATTGGAGCGGTTATTTTACACTTACGTAACCAGAACTACCAGTAAGTTGACATTAATTCAACAGGTTACGTCTAGTTAAGTTACCTATTTTAATAATTCATTTACCACACTGGGGCCAGCAATGAATTATTCCCTGAAATACCGAGGTGATCACCGGGTGTACAAATAGGGACAGAATGTAAACAAACAATAACAATTAGGTTAACTAAAACTAGTACGATACCAAAATTTTCCAGATGGTGGTGGTTCATTCAGTTTACCAGATTAGTCCTGGCCACTGGTTGTGGTCAACTTGTTCGATGACTTGCGTAACCGTCCGATTACTTAGGCTGGTGTCTGTTAGCCTTTTGGTTCAATTTCGGTTACAATTGAACGTCTATTGTTATAACCGTGAGGATATACTCGATGGTAAAGTATAACCCCTCGTGAAAGAAAATACCCTCGTCAAAGGAAATACCCTCGTCAAAGGAAATACCCTCGTGAAAGGAAATACCCTCGTGAAAGGACCCTAAGAGAAAAACTGTTATACACACTGTATTTGTAATTGAACTAATAGCGAAGCACTTCATGAATAAATTGAATCAATAAGAAAAAAAAAATGAAACTATAATGATTAGTTTCTAATAGCAAATTTACTTGATAAAAAAACTATAGCTCTTGAAAATTATTTTAATAGAAAAATTGAACATTAAGATATTAATTAATTAAATCAGATTGAATCATAATAAGGCTTTGATAGCAATTGAGAAAAATGTGTCTTGAGTTTGCAAAAATTGTCATGAGGTTATGTGTTTTTTTTTTTTTTTTTTACCTGATGGTATTAGGGTGTCGGCCTCGAAAATCTCCGGAAATCTGGATCGAGGATTGGATTGAATATCCTGGAGTAGGTGAGATTATTCTCTACTCCTTAGGGCAGCTTTCAACTAATAATTGAATGGAAAAAGTCAGAAACTTCTATTGGAAAAAAACGTGCAAGCAACTTACCACAACGACTGCTTTTTTTAAATCCGATAACATCGGCGAAAATTATGGCACTTTACGAAAGTAAAACACAACGCAAGATAACTCAGTGTGCCATAAATTCAATTCAGAAGAAAATCAGGCCCAAAATCCCCTTTCAAGGTGAAGAAAAAAACTTAATTCTTCTGGAGGACTTGTTTCTTCCAAAGCAGTCAACGTGAAAAGAGAAAGTGCTGCACATTCAATCAATAAGCTAACCCCACCTAAAGGACTTAGAGATGATTCAGAATAACGACAAACATAAACAATTAATCGATAGAATTCTCACTTACCAAAAATTACACACCACAACATAATCCGAGAAAAACGACAACGGCTAATGAATTATGATATCAACAACAAATAATCATCCCATAAAACAATCAAAACTTGAAGAATACAAAATAGAGCAAGTGTTCCGTTTTCAAAATTAGAGAGCTCAAGGAAGAATCGACGAAATACTGAAAACATCACTACTCCACCGCTGGTTGACAGAAATTTTTGACAATCAAAAGTCAAAGAAACGAAATCACAGGGTGCGTTCCAGATATCTCAAAGGACATCGAACCAATGCGCAACTAAACGGGGTACGCTAGAATTTGCGCCGAGATCAATATCGCTCCATAACCGAACAGTCAGTACGAACGGTACACCCACTTGAACACGGGTCATCATGATTACGGAACACAACCCACGAAATATTTTTGACACATGAATTATTTTTGTTATGAAACAGATGATCGAATTTAAAATCAAAATCAAAATATTGCCTTGTTTTGCTTTAGAATTGAATTAAAATATGGATTAAAATGAGGAAAAAACCATTACAGCAAATAGAATTTGACTATGGAAAATTAGAAAATTTACAGGATCTACAACCGTTGAGATTATTGATGAAATTTTATAGAGAAAATGCTGACAAATTTAAGGAAATCTTGAATATAAAATTGAAAGTAGGTAAGAATCATTTATGCAATTTTGGCCTGTTACAACTCCCCCTCTCCTACGATAGGAGGGAAAGTTAGAAAGAAACTTTTCCGACGATAATCTAAGCAAACTCGAGAACTAAGGTACTATAAAGAATGTAAAATATATGTATTTATAATTTAAACTTAAATGAATTCAAAATGACCATCAGGATACAACAATTAAAAAGGTAGGTTGATATTAAGAAAGGTAGTTGTATCCCTCCAAAACGAACATCTACTCACTTTGCCTCGAAAAACACAACGGTAAGATAAAATATAAGGTAACTGAAGTCAACGAAGCTAAAGGTAAAGGCAAAATAAGCAAAGTCGTGAAGGACAGAAAAGAGAAGAAATAAAGGAAAGAAAAGAAGTTATCGAAGCTTTGGTCGTCCCGTGACAGATAACCCTAGGCAACCCTCTCGCTGTATCCAGTGTAGGCGAAAAATTCTAGAGCATTTTTTTTTGAATTTTTAATTTTAATTTTGGTTGCAGTTGTTAGGCGAACTTTCAGCCAGCGTTGCGTAACCACCTATCAGGTATTGTGGCACCTCGTGCACTGGCCTTACACCAGACACCAGCAAGAAAATCCCCCAAAGCCCTCCAGCACGAAACAACCAAAGAGTGGGTTGAAGAAAAAGACAAGAGAGTAGAGATTTAAATTTAACCAAGAGACCCACCAAGCAATCAGTAGCGAATTATAGCATACGCCAAGCTGAAAGATGCGCCCCCTATGGCGAGTAACGCACCGAGCAGTCACTACAAAAAAAAAA